TGCGGCACGCCTGAAACCGATGGGCACACGGATTATACACTGGATACCACTGAACCACAAACATTCCTTCGGTCATCCCAGAACATTAAGGAACGATCCATTGGTCAAATTACCGGCCAATGACGGAGGCAGAAGGCGAAGAACAGGCAACACTGGACGAGAGACGACTTGAGCTAATGGCGTACCCATAACTAGGACAATTCAGATAACGAATAACACACCACGTTATGACTTTTTCACAAAACTGGCAGGATCATTGATAGGTATGTCGTTATCCGGTTCTTTCCTCTGATTTTCCATCTAGGTACAAACTCGTAATATCAAATTCATGTATCCAGGGCTGCATATCCCTCTCCAAAATCATACCAAAATTTTATGAAAGTACTAAAGTGCAGATACATAAAAAACGTCATTAATCACTTTTGAAAATTTGGTGCATAATGTCTAATTTCTCGATCGAGAATATAAAAAACTTCGCAAACCTCCTGAAGAAATTTTGCTTCCGGGTGAAGAAACACGGTTTCACTGTTGTCATCGCCGTCTTCCTTCTTGTGTCTCCGCTTCTGGCCAGTTTCAAGAGGTTCTGCCTTGGAAATCAGTAAAATAGACAAAAAATGCGTGAAGGAGGGTGACTTGGTAAGCAGCTCTTTCCTAAAAAGTTTCTAAATGTTGAGTAGTGAACAACCGCCTGATAATATATACTTTAGACACTCGAAAGCAGGAAGCGCGATTTTCGGAGGTATTCCAATAAATCGTTCATTGATCAACAAAGCGACCCTGTTGTCCCCGCTAAAAACGCTTGCAAACTTCGCTTTATTGTCTGCAGTCAAGTTCGAACGCTTGCACTTATCAAGCAGTGAAGATCTCATCTGATTTGAGACTACGGTCTGAAATGTGCAATGAAAAATAAAAAAACAGGTTAAATATTAATTTAAGTTAAATTTTTAATTTTCAGTTACCCCTGAAGTAAACACGAGCTATTCACAAAAAACTTAGACTTTTAAACATGGTGCAGAGGCAAATTAACTTAAAACATTCAGCTTCCTAAATTATTACAAGTCATCTACGAATGTGAATCACAAGTAAATTAAACAGACAGTAGAAAATATGTGAAATCAGGTTCATCAGATGAATCACATCTTGTGACAAGTTATGTAGTAACAAAGTCAACATCCACGGGAATTCTTTAGCCTGGTAAAGTAATTCCGGCAGAACAGAGCCTTTCATAAGGTTCCATCTGGTGAACCAACGTGATGTCACAACCACTTTACAACTGGGCTAAAATAAAGAAATTAGGCACATAAATTAGATGCATGCATTGAATTTTTCTGCACATCCATGCACAAGCCACAGAGAGATAGCAAATACAAACAAGTGGGTGTATAATATAACAAGGTATAACGGACTAAATCTTGCACAAAGGCGAAAATCTGTCATCAACCCAGTAATGGTCGGCAAAGGAAGAATGGCAATCAGAAATTGAAAGGCTTTCATAGCATCTTAAGACAAATCTGCTCAAGAGAAGGACACGCCACTTACAAATGAAAATAGAAGATTCTGGGACATAAATCAAATAAATGTCTAAAGAAATAAGGGCAGTTTTTTTGATTTTGCGGAAGAGAATGAATGATCGATATCGTAATGAGCAATTCCAATTCAAGGGCCAGAAGAATGGAAATATCAGACGACAGCTGATCCGTGACATCGGCATTCACGCCTCCTGGAATGATCAAAGGGAGGAAATCAAAAGTAATAACTTTGTACAAACGTGCCTGTCAAATATTTCCTGCACATCGACATTCCATTCGGACGATAATACTGTGAATAGGACATATACACTTGCGTTTCCATTTACAATGTCAATTTCACATACATACTATTAAATATTTCCCAACATAATTTCGGTTTCACTATAAGATCTTATAAATAACATATCTGACATGAACCATACGAGATGCACCTGGCCTTGGAGCAAAAGGGCGATGCAATACGATGCAAAATATGGCCCTGAAGAATTTGTGTTCTTGACACTATGGAGTACTAATAAATTTGATGTTTATAAGAAAAAGCAAAGAAGGTGGCATCTTATGCTAATTATTACACCGAACGGTCAACAACGAGGTGGATCAAAGCGAGGTGCAATCACACGGGGCGACACATCAGAGAGCATAGCCATGTATGACTACACCAGAATATCGAAACCGTACTGCTGTTATGATTCGCAAATCATCGACTTTCTACCCGTTTGTCGGATAGTTACGCCGCAGCAACGTGAGGTTAATTAGTTGTTCAAGGGCATTCACAGTTAACCCAAAGGCTATTCTCTCAGCGGATTTAAGCCCGCCACTTTCGGGGTTAAAAGCTTACCTGTTTCAGAGTGTGCCACAACACCACGAAATGATATAAGCTATTTTCATATATTTATAAGCCATAAGCTATAAGTTATTTTAAGCTAAATAAAAATATCACTAGACAACGGGAAAAACATTCGCGGAAATTTTATTTGTAGACCTGACAACTGGCACCGCACTCAGTCAATCTTCAAAAATATGGACGGCGGAATATCATTCCAATCGAGCTACAATCATAAGACTGTACTTGTTTTATTGTTGCTCCGAGGAACGATTCAGTATAATACGAAATGCCTGTTTTCTAGGTAAATTTTATATGCCTGGTTTACGGCATCGCCAATGACACCTCTATCATTTTTCGCATATGGATGTTGCATTATTTAACTTCCGCAAAGTTAACAAGCTTTTGATTAAAAAAATCATCAAAATTTAAGTCTTTCAGGCCATACTGAATCAGAGGCAAAAAAACAATTAATGTTATGATGTGTACTCCTTGTGCTATATTTGCATCATATATTCTCCAGAGCCCCGTGGATCACTTCAGATCCTTCTGGATCACGGATTATTAGAGGAAGAGTCATCCAACTTAAAAGCTCCTGGGCAATAGAAATCGAAATGCGAAGACAGCACAAAAACTGCTTGTTTATAAACAATGGAAACGATTTGAGCAGTGGAATTATTGACCCATACCGTCGCTTCAAACCATATCTAACAGACTTTGATCAGGGCAGAAGGACATGTAAATTGGTTCTGGACGTCCTTCCATCGTTTCCAAAAAATCGTGTAGCTCCAAATATTACAGAATGTGCGAGCGACAAAAAGAACTTCCAAAACTAGCCCATCTCTCTACCTTGAAACAGGGATACATAAAGAAAGCCCATGAAACAAGGGCGAAACGTTGGTATTAGTCAGGCATATGATCGGTCATAATTTTGCACTGTACGTACACGAACCGTATTTTGCGCTGTATCCAGCATGACCACCAACTCACGCAGCAAATACTCGAAAGTTGAATGTCGTAAGATTTCATTAATAAGCCAATGTTTAAAAAATTACATAGTCCAACAATACAGATTTGTTAATTATAAATAAACTTATCAATAAAGTCCTTCTAAGGGCCCAAAACCATCAAGTTAAAAAACTTGCTATTTTTTGCCATTCCTACCGATGGTGAGATGGCTTGCCTAAACGACACTGAAAGCAGTGCTGAACCGAGGTTCCAAACCTACCGTTGGAAGAGTGACGTACTTGAAGTTTGGCCGAAGAGTAGAAAGTAGATAAAAACACTTTGCTCATGACCGCAGAACTAGTCAGACTGTAAAGCATGATGATACCGAATCGCTGCCGATTATAAAGCCTTTCTCAATCGAAAGCTGTTTAACAGGCTTTTGTTTAAAAAAAAACATGCCACCTAGTTCTTCGAGCAGCCAAGCGAACCGCAGCTGTATTAAGTGACCAACTACCTGCTTACAGCGATAATGCGGGTAGCCGAAAGCTCAAAACAGGACCAAAACCCACCCTTTGATGTCGTCAGAGACAGAATTGCAAAGTCTAAGGATCCCAGCTTGCACAGGTTGTTGATTAGCCATGAACCAAGACCTCATCATCATCTTCCATCGCCGCTTCTCCTTTCGGGTCGCGGAGGCAGACGCGTCAGACAGTGCTTCCAACGTTCCCGATCCTGTGCCAGATTCTGAGCCAAGACCTATGATAAAATATCCCCAAGGTACTGCCCCCAATCAGAAAGAAATAGCGGCCTTCGCGAAAATCGGTGCATGAACGGTAAAGTTATTCTGCGTAACCATTCCGTAAGGATATTTGACCTACAGTTCAACTTGGATACGGCTGTTGGAAAACTTGACGCCAATGCCTCACGGCTCTTAATATATAAACTTACATTTTGAGTCATGTCCAAAATAGTGATCATTCCAAAAACATCTTCATCTTCATCGTCGTCAGATTCTGTTTCACCCGCTTCACTTCCGTCGACAGGCTTCAAGTACACAGAATAGAACTACATACAAATAGTAAGTATTTTCTTTACCTTAAACATGCAGCCAATATCAGCTTGCGTTGTGATTATTTTCGTAACCTGGTCAACGTCTACGTCGAGACCCATAAACAGCTGAAATGCGTCGATACATTACAACAGGAAACAAATAATGAAACATTTTGCTCCATAATGTAGCAAAACCCCCAAACATTTGTCACACATTCTGAGGAGAATTGGAGCTTCGTATATCTGAACACAAGAAATACAGGTGGCTATTTCACATATCAAAATAAATTAAATATTATGCACATTACATGATAGACATGAACTACAAATCTGCATATATTTAACGTTATTAAAATACAGTCAAAATTATATAAGCGCGAATATAACAGTATTGCCACATCACGTTACTAACGAGAACCATTTTCAAGAGACTGATGCTTCAGCCATTTTGTCGCTAAAATATCGTCAGGATTAGGGATCTTCGATATGCATTACCATATTTATCAGGGCAGAGGATGCATCCCGTATTAGGAAACAAAATTCTCAAGGAAAAAGATGCTTGCTCTTAATCCTACTTTATTAATCTTCAAAGATCCTTCGAATCGAGGGGGCAAATACTTCAGAGCGCTTTCAAGTGAATCCTGCTCTGGTGCCAAAGGAATAAGCCAAAGTCGTAAGGCACGACATGACTGGTCTTACTTATCACCGAACCATTTGATCTACGCTCTGCCGTCAGCTCTAATCCGTAACGCAGTATCCTAATCACGTGACCAAATGACTGAAAATGTGTTCTCTGCATCTATAGGTAAAGAGGTTCATATCCGAGCGTATTCTGAACAGCGGTATTCCTGACTCTGCTGAGATTCGTTAAACCAGCAACCCTCGGAAAAATCCTGACTTCTGCTGCTTGTATTCGGTATCACACTCTTTTGTTCAATATTCAGCAGATTATAGAAAATATAAGAACAGGTACCTACACAAACTAGAAGAAACATAGCTCTGCATACGGCTCAAGTACTTGGTCATCAAAAACAACTTTAGTTGCTTCTCCTGCTCATCCCATCTCATACCTGCAGAGAACAGGGAAGGGAGGCGAGTACTATACTAGAATAAACGTATACATTTGAGTCAGGCTAACTTTTCACATAAAAAGTTTTCGGAAAGTAGAAACATTATTTAATTTCACTTACTGAAACCCATTTAATGCTAAATCTAAGCTCAAAAACAGAAGTAACTTCACTGCGATCATCTAATTCATTCCCAACTTTCTAAATAGATAAGGTGGTAGCAGCGAAATGAAGGGTTCCATACTAACTAAAAACTGAGGCGCGTTGGGTCGCAGATTTAGCGGAAGATTCACCATCCGGAACGAACGAAAGAGATGAACATCATGTACCACACAAACCCACTTCATTGAGAGCGACAAGATCTATATTGCAAAAATCGTACAGACGGGACAACATACTCCAGGGTTTACCGAACATTATACTAATTTAACAGCTTTGACAAATAGGAATAGAGGGCATTCGGCCATCTGTTCCTGTGTTTTCTATCTGAGAAATACGCGAATGACACTACTGTTGATAGATGGCGGAGAAACGTTGGGTTCAGTTAGTCAGTTCAGGCAGCTAGTCGCAGTCAGTCAGTCAGTCAGTCAGTCAGTCAGTCAGTCAGTCAGTCAGTCAGTCAGTCAGTCAGTCAG